GGGAGAGGGAGAGGGAGAGAGAGAGGGAGAGGGAGAGGGGAGGGACAGAGAGAGAGAGAGGGAGCGCGAGAGAGTCAGAGCGTGAGTGAGTGTGTGTTCGTTTGTTTGTGTGTGTGTGTGTGTGTCCTGTCCTGTCCTGTCCAGTCCTGTCATGTCCTGTCCTGTCCTGTCCTGTCCTGTCCCCCTGTCCTGTCCTGTCCTGTCCTGTCCTGTCCTTCCGGCCGTCTGTACGTCTCTGTGTCTGCATGTCGGTGAGTGTGGGGGTGGTGGGTAGGAGTGGTCGCGCGTCTGTGTATGTCAGTCACGTCTTCTGGACCCTGCCCGTCTTTGTCTGGCGGTAAAGCTGCATTGAACTGGCTCCTCAGTTCCGGCACCGGGTGCAGCATCCCAAGAGTAGCCCTGTGTAAAAGCGTCACAGCAAACGAAACTGTGTAGTGCTCCGAGCTTCCAGATCGAGCCCTTCTCGGAGTCGACATTTTAGGAGATCGACCTGTGACCCCGAACTCGCTTTTAGAAGATGTGCCGGAAGCATTCAATCCAAGACATGGCGATGTCGTCATGCATAATCTCGAGACCAATGGAGCATGTTTCAAGCATGTTCTGAAGAAGTTGGGGTTTACCTATCAGCTCGCGACACCCCATGTCTCTGAGCCTTATGGCAGAGCATCAGCGACCGGCTGGAGCATCCATGAACAGTCACAGCAGAGCTGTCACGATTCCTATCTCCCCGCTGTGGCGTTTCAACTCATGGCCGGTTCGAGCCGTGCAGCAAGCGCTGCATCCTCAAGGACTGCAGGCGGCTCTTTCAAGTAGTCCTGCAAGGCAGATAATGTAGGACCCTGATTAAGAAACCCTTGGCCGCTATTAGGGTTCTTCATATGAGCTCCAATATATTTGGGGTTATAGGGCCAGGGTTTCGTAATCGGGTTCCGACATAATTGGTGTTGGGGTCTACGCAACACTTGTGAGAGGCCCCACCGCCTCCCTCTCCAAGTCCTCTTCTGCCAGTGCCATATTGTGCAATAGCGCTGGCAGCAGTTGATCCAGCAGCGTTGGCGTGCAGCCCGCAAGCATGGTATACTTCTCCAGGTCATTGAAAACCTCTGATGCTTTGAACTAAGTGGATCTTATTCGCGGCTGGGTTGCAGTTGAATGCGGTGGCGTGGGATAAGGCTACGCGCGAGAAGGCAAGGATGTTGACTTTTGGCTTGCAGACTTCGGAGCTGGCTTTTCAACATGCCGGAGTGACGAAAGGGTACGGACGGACAGTGGGCGTCTGGACTGTGGACATCTTGGCCTATGGAGCAACTTCTCACGGACCTGAAGCCTGCACTCTGAAGCGCATCGAGGTCAAGGAACATCCAAAGCAGCCATTCGCAACTCCAAGTTCCTGGCCAAGACGGCTGAACACGACCGGCTGAACACGACCTCAAACGGCTTAATTAAGTGATCTCAAGACATCGCGTTGTGGCCCTGCTCCCAAAAAGTTGAAAGTTGCAGTTAAGTGCACCTTACATGCTTCGCGGGCTCTGCTGCTGATGGCTCTAACCATAGCCATGGGCACTTCACACTTGTGCAGCTTCGCACGTCTCACGACCGCGAAGTGGCTAGATTTGTCGACAATGGCTTGGCCACTGACTACATGCTTGTCAACGATACGTGTACCATACCATGCTGATTGCACATGAGATGTATGTTTGACAGTTTGACAGCACACCTGCTGCACCCGAATCACATGAGTTTCGACTGAATAGGCCGCTGCGGACAACTCAAGTCTCGACGGTGACACCGGCTCTCAATACGTAGTCACGTCGTCATCGTCGAACCCCCTTAACAAACCCCAGCTCGACTGCAATTAACGTCTTACACTCCATGGAATGCAGGGAAATGCAGAATCCCCAATCAAACCTCGTTTGGCAAGCTGCACGCCAGGCCTCATCTTGCAGCAGGTGCAGGCGCATTGCAAGAACCTCTCCACCAGGGACCTTGGGGCCCGGATCTGGCTGTCGTCCTCAACCACTGCCTGCCCGGAAGATGCCTATTGGTTACTATAGTATATGCCGTCGTCTCCGAAAAGAGCCGGTTCATTGTAGGTGGTGTTCACTACCCGGCACTTCGCCTGAGGACTTCGGTGCGGAGGGCTGAAGACTTTTGGATGTATTCGAATCCCGGCAGAAAGCTTCAGAAACAAGTCCGGAGGACTACCTTCTCTGCTAGATCTGAAATTAAACAAGGTTGAGATTTCTTATGACATTTAGGGTTTAGGGTTTAGGGTTTGCTGCTCCTGCACAAGCTCCGAAGGCCTTTAGCGCCTTGCTCTGGCCTTGGGCCTTGAACCTTCATCCGGGTTCATCCGGGCACCATGGGTAGACACAGCTCCAGCCGTCCATAGGACACTGACCCCCTAAACCCTAAACCCGAAACCCTAAAACCCACGATTTTGGGCTAAAGCCCCGAACTTTACCATGCACATTCTGGAGCCAAAGCTCCACGCCGGGCCTGCCAGAGTTCACAGAGTGACTCCACGGGCTTATCTTTCTGAAAACGGCGCAGCAGCCCATCCAGTATACCGCAGTCTTCCATGTCGTGCACCTAGAAGGGCCAAACCAGGGGCACGCGCTGAAAGCCCCAGCGAAGTTCGGGGCGTGCCCAGCGACACGGGGCTCAGAGAAGCTTAGAGCATCCATTGCAAGCTCCCTTCGAAGGCTCAGAAAGCTGAAGGGCGGTGACTTACTTCCCCAAAAAGACAGGGACGTAGAAGGGTACACTTTCGGATTACTATCAATTCTAAGAACCCAAAAAGGTTAAAGGTTGCGTATTGGAGAACTAAGGTGAATGGCCTCGACCCTTCGATGAGACTTGGATTTTCGAAGCTTCTTCGTCCTGGGGGGGGGGGGGAAATTTTGCCCTGAGTGAGCAAAGCAACTCAAGTCACACAAATGTCGCTCCGGTGCCTCCTGCTGCAGCTCTTGCAGAACTTCGAGGCAACATTGAAAGTCTTCATCCTCCATGGCCACCAGCCACAAGTCAACCCCAAGTCTAAAGCACAACATCTGTCAGGCGGCAAGTTAGTATTGAGCTGTGCAGCAGCCAGCGCAGGCGCGTCCCGATTCACTAAGCCTTTACGCCACCACTGAGCCTCTACTGGCGTCTCGGGGCTATCCATTATTGACACATCACCGTCTGAATGTCGATACCAGAGTTGCATGACTGTAGAGGGTCTGAGCCGCGAATGGCATGGAAAACTCGAAGCCCATGCAAGCGAATGCTCCTTGGCCACAAGACTGCCGACCCTCAGCATCGGGTTCCGTCCTGGATCTCCTGGAAGAAGAAGTCGGTGATGGGCGCCCGTCGAACGACGGCCTCGGCCATGGGGACCTTGGATGTTTCACCCCATGCCATGCCGAGAAAGAGGCGACAAAGACACTCCGAGGCGTGCGCTCTCCTTTTAAGGCGTGTACTGGCTTGGTCTAAACCTGTGCATTCTTCCGACCGTCACTGATTCGGCCAAGCCGCAAATCCTGCAATCCAGCGTCGTAGCGACAGGTCCAAGGCAAGAATCCAGGGCTTCGCTTGTATTGTTAAACTTGTGGCTTGGGGCAGCAGCGTGCCTGTGTGTGTGTGTGTGTGGGTGCGTGTGTGTGTGTGTGTGTATGTATGTCTCTGTGTGTGTGTGTGTGTGGGACTGAGAGAGGTAAATCTGACCGATTGCTTTTTCGGAGCTTCGGTAGGCATAAATAAGTTCTATGTGCCCGACTTACGACTCCTTCGGACTCACAACGGTTTGTAATTGTGGGCGGGGCGGATTTTATGGCATGGGCATCTTAGGAAGGGGCCGCACAGGTCACTGCTTGAGAAGCCTTCCTGCGGTGGTGCATAATTAAGAACCGGTGAATGCCGGCCTGGAACCTACCACTCCGTCATTCGTGAAGCTACAAACCACCAGAAGCCTCCGGAATGCAGCACATCACTTTTCCCGTTTTGCAGCCCATCAAATCAAAGCCTGAAGTCCGAACCAATGTTCGCCGTGCTCGCTGAAGCCCTCAACTTGGTGCCGGAAGGGCTGTCATGGCTGTGGGCCTACTTGCAAGGCAGGGCTCAAAGGACGCGGTCAGAGGACTCGGCTCTCAACAGGCTTGAGTGGAAGTTCGAGGTGGTTGCTGTCGGGTCGAGATTGCCCAAAACCCGCAGATGCCGCTCTGGACAGCAAGCTGGATTGAATCTTCGGGCATCTAAAGCTGATCTCTGCGGATCCTCTGTGCTTTGGCCGGCCTCGAAGACGCATGGGGCGCGGCAAGCAAAGAGTGTGCGCAAGCACCGGGGTACTCTTTTGGGTGGTTTCTGAAGCTCTCGAAACCAACAAATAGCAAGTCCTACATGCCTTGGAACCGTTCCATGGAGTTTGTTGACCCACTACTGCAGGCTGACATGCTTCGTGCATCGTGGGACGGATCCCAAAAGGGGCCTGGGAAGTTTCTGCGCTTAAGCCACGACAGCTAACGCCGGTCAGATCTGAAGCATTGCTTCCAGTCACGTTCGACGCTGCCAGGTTTCAATCAATCAACGGGCATCTGCCGGAAGTGTGCATAAACAAGCTGTGCACTTTCCTCAGGACTTGCAGCATGTCTCCGTCTTGGCCACTGCAGCAGGACGTTTGGAGGAAGCCTTGCTCTCCTTCGTGATTCGCTAGATGCTGAGAACCGATAACGAGGCCACTTGCAAGTCTACGACGAGTCACGACGAGCTGCCATCGAGACTAATTCGTGCAGCCCCAAAGTCAGCAATCAGCAACCTGAACCTCAAAGAGCGAGCACCGATTTTTCCAGTTCAGCGACGTGCTCTTCTGGGTCCCACGTCCCACGGCCAGGAGTCCAGCAAGGCCTCGTGTTTCGCTCGCGTGCTGCTTGCTTGTGCAGTCCGAACAACAGCAAACTCAGCAAATGTCCAGCAAAGCACGTGAGGCTAGTCTTGCAGTGAAAGTCAGTTGCCGTATACGCAACTACGGAACAATTACGAGCCTTACACAGAAGTCGAATCCGGATAAGGTCACAAAACGTGCAAGCCGGGCCTCTGCTGTGAAGGGCCTGCTCGGCTAGGACCTGGTGCACCCGTAGCTCGATTTGGTGCGAAGCACATCCTGCAAGCCTATATAGGACTCTTAAGACAACTCCTCCACCTGAATTGAAAGCCAAGCGGCCGCTCGAATTCCTGTCCATCAGGGCCGGCTTACCTGTAGCAGACCCAGTCGCAGTTGAAGCAAAGCTGCAATACTACCTCAAAAACCTGAGCTGCGTTATCCGAAGCTGCGATGTTCGGCCGAGGGGCTTGAGCTTCTTCTTGGGGCGGAGCTGGTTGCTGTGCCCGCACTTCTTCTTGCGGCAGTTCACAGCCCGGGCCTGCCAGCGCACTTAGGCGGGAACCTCTTCGGCGGAATTTCGAACCCGGAGTCTGTCCTGCTACTCCAGGTTACATGTACGACTGGCTTTTGTAGGATTTGGGAGCAGTGGCGAGGTGCTGAGGTCGGGACGTGGAGGCGTGCATAGCATTTGCGGCAAATCATCTTCTCACAGTTGAACTTGCGCGCAAGCACCTGGTGATGCCAACGATTAACAAGACACTAGACTACTAGAGGCAAAGCCAAAGCATCAGCACTAGAGGAATCGGAATATTCATGTGCTTGCGGCCATCAGCTGCACCAGCCACCCAAGCTGCAACTTGAGTTCACCCACCCTAGCCACAACAGTTTCACAACAGAAAATGTCTGCTCATGGTAGCTTTTGCTACAGCATTCATACCATGGGCGAATTCATTCGAGGGTCAAGAATCTCCTCTGCCAAACGACATCCTATCGTCCCTCCACCCGGGGCGTCATACTTGTTTGGCACTGCAGTGCTCGACACCCAAGTGCCAGTACAGTGGCGGTGGTGGTAGTAGTAGTAGTAGTAGTCGTGGTGGTGGTGGTGGTGGTGGTAGCAGTGGTCGTAGTAGTGGTCAGAGTAGTGGTCGTAGTAATAGTGGAAGCAGTGGTAGTATAGTAGGAACAGCAGCAGCAGCAGTAGTCGTCGTCGTCCGTGGCTTGTTGCTTTTTGCGCATGCTACTGTTTTTATCTTAGCTCTAGTGGCGCATTGCCGCTGTCCAAAACTTAAACCCGGGCCCCCCGACCGCCAGGGACGGCTCGATGACTCCGCCGCGGAGGCGCAGCACCAGGTGGAGAGTGGACTCCTCCCAGCGTCTTCTCAGAAACATTTGTCGCCCAGCTCACGACTTGTGCGGCTCTGCATGTCGCTCGCTACGTCTCTCCAGTCGCAGGCTGCTGCAACAGCTACTGTAGAACTTTCATCTTTCAGCGGCCTTCTGGATGTTGTAATCGGAAAGCGTGCGGCCATCCTCCAACCTCAAAGGCTTTTTGTTTTCGGAATCCGGGTTCAGGGTCGTTATGGTCAATCAAATGTTTTCAACCCAAGAATCCCAAGCTTGATCTCTGGCTCACTCATGGTGGCTTGCTTGGGAGCTGTTGCTGAATGTCTGCCTGGAGTTGTTTCACAAAAAACACCTGAGCGCTGGACTGCTTGCCAGCGAAGATGAGGCGCTGCTGGTCGGGAGGGATGCCCTGATCGACAACATCAGTTGTGTACGCACACATACAGTTTTTTGCAGCCGCTGACCGGAACACTCCGAAACGCCCCACCGACCGGCCTCCTTGTCCTGGATCTTGGCCTGCACTCTCGCGCTTGAGAGTCGGTTTCAGGGCCTAGTCTGAAATCAGTTGGCCTGTGCAAGTTTTGCTGGGGACGCTCATTCAAGAGTTTGATTGGCTGATCTTCCGCGATGCTCACTGCGGCGGTTCTGTTTTCCAGTTCCTCTGCTGCAGTGTGGGAGAAGGCTACATGCTGTTCAAGCCGTTGTTTTATGAGACGACTTGACCGCCGGAAAGCAGCTTTGTGTCTGAGGCCTGAAATCAACAAGCATGGACATCATTCCAAGATGCTGTCAAAAGGTATGCTGCCTGCCTACCTGCCCACCGCCTCCCTCCCTGCCTACCGGCCTACCTGATACATGCAGGACATCCAGTGTGTGTGTGTGTGTGTATATATATATATACACAGTACAGTATTGTATGCATATGTTTATTTACACATTATATGTATATATATATACACGTGTATATGTGTCTGTATATGTCTGTATATACAATGGAACAAAATTTCCGTGTGCACAAATGTAGACCTTCAGGGTCATAGACTCATCGAAAGCATAGCCGTGAGCAGTTGCTTGAAAAATCCCCATCATGAGATCATGAAGGCCAACAGTGCAACCAACTCCCACCAAGGTCTCTAACGCTGCCCGCCCAATGTCCTTGACGTTGTCTATCGTGTCTGACGCTTCGACGTCCAGCGTAATCGTCTTGCCCGTGAGGGTCTTGACCTTTGTTGCAGGTGATCTTTTCAGGCCCGACCAACGAAAGAGCTGAGGAGGAGGACCCTAGACATCTTCGCATCAAGCTACAAGACGTCATGGCTTTGCAGGTAGCTGGTCCGAAGCTGATGTTGAACATGTGAACATAAACAAGCCCACTGGGACCGTGGATTCACCAAACTCCCCGAAACCGAAATCACGGCCAGGCCACGAAAATCTGCATGGCGGCCCTGCCGACCCGGCCAGAGGCAGGAAAATTGTCGCTGAAATGGCTTGACCCTCAAGGAAGGGCATCATGAATCCATCTTCGGAAGGCTCAGGAAATGTGGGTTTTGCATCGGGCGTCTGACTGTCGCCACATCGCCAGCTGCTAGTACGACAGTCTTCCGCCAAGATTGCGGAATGGACGGCTGAAGCAGAGCCTGCCGTTTTCCTCTCTACAAGTCGCGATCCATGATATGTTGACCTTGCAGGTTTGCGATGCGTCGATGAAGACAACTTCGCGCTTTCCGGTAATTTGACTGAGAACTCTTACAAAACCGATCTGAGTCAGAACTTGGGGGCATGACTACAATAGAAGTTGTCTCCACCTCAAGCATGAATCTCTGCTAGGACGCAGCTGGGCTGAAACTGTACAGAGCCCAGATCGCTGCACACAAAGTCTAAAGTCGCCAGAGCTGCAGTGCGGCACCAAGCGGTTGTCACTCAAAGTCGACCATGAGCTCACACAAATCAGAACTCGCACTTAAGGCAGGCCCTCTCGAAGACGCATGGGGCGCGGCAAGCAAAGAGTGTGCGCAAGTACTCCTTTGTTTGGTTTCAGAAGTCCTCGAAACCAATAGATAGCACGTCCTACATGCCTTGGAACCGTTCCATGGAGTTTGTTGACCCCCCTGCATGCATGGCCCTGCAGGCTGACATAAAGGGGCCTGTGAAGTTTCTGCGCTTAAGCCACGACAGCTAACGCCGGTCAGGTCTGAAGCCTTGCTTCCAATCACGTTCGACGCTGCCAAGATTCGTCGAGTCTTGACAGAAGTTTTCGCCGTCAGAAGCGCACAGACCTTTGGTAGGGAAAAAGCAGCCACGTTCACAAAGGTCTTCAATTCCATCAATGCTGCGCGTGCCTCCTTGAGAGCTGTACAGCTAAGACAATTTCAAACTCCCAGATTCAGCAGCTAGATTCAGCAAAATTTCAGGCTGCCAGATTCTGACACAAAAACAATCTCTGAACCAGATAGAGAAAGAATGACTGTATCCTGGTCATGTGCCTGACATCACCAATTGCTCTCAAATTATCGCAACTTATCTTTGTTTGCCTTAATTCATTGCAAATCATCTCGGTTTATCTTTATTCATCTTATTTAAGCCCAAAAAAGACAAATTGAGATAACTGTCTGTCGAAATAAAAACCTTACGGATCTAACCCCCCCCCAATCTGAGAACCTTATGGCCAGTCCCGACAGATTCTGGCAGGGAATCTGTACATTATGTTTACAGCAAGTTCAGCAACGACTGCAATCAGTCGTCGCTTTACCGAGCTGCACTTTGGATACTGAAATTGGTACCACCACTGTCATTTGACCTTCCTTCCCTTCGGGCGCCATTAGCATTGAGCGGACTGCCTTCACCTCGTCCTCCGTCGACACCACTGCAAGATCTGCAGCAAAAGCTTGACAGAATTCACCATGGAGAATGTTGACTACCGCTGAGCTGTTGGAGAAGATGCCAACCTTAAACCGGATCTTGTCAAAGTCCTCCAGTTTGAAGTTGAAGAGGGGCACTTGCGGTCGGGTGAACTGCCGCATGCTGATCACAATAACGATGCCATCCAACAGCTTGGTTTCTAAGGCCCACCGTAGCGCATCTATGCCTCGAAATGCAAAGGCAGCCCCCAAGAGGATGATGATGGCGCACAGGGCTCCCACTTCCAGCAGCTTGGCCATACGACTGTACCACAATGAAGTGCGGTTTTGCCACAGGAACTTCAAATATTTCCCTGAACCTGTTGGCGTCAACACTGACCCAACCTTCACGAAGAACATCACGACTGTCCCGAGCCAGAGCAGACCAACTAACAGCAAGCTGATGTGGAAGACGAAGATGGGAATCCAGACCAAGGAATCAACATACATCCCAGAGCTGCTGTCGTAGGTTGGATCATACGTCGCAGGGTCGATTCCTCTGAAAGGTGCTTGCCACAGCAAAGCACCGTAGAAAGCTTTAGAGCTTAGGAAATTTGAACCTGCATCTCCTGCAGCTGCAGCAGCTGCACAAGCCTCGCACATCCCACCCCAAGAAAATGTGGATATGTCAACACAGGTGTCTCGGAGAAAGCTGAAGACAGCAAACTCAAAGACTGGTAGGACGCAGAGCTCGATGCATATGAGGTGTAGGACAGCTGGGAAGCACAAGGATCCTCGAGAGCAAACAGTCATGGCGCAGGGGTGTTCAAGGCTTCCTAAATCTGACTGGCAATGACGCTGAGAGGATCAGAAACATGAGATTGAGAGGCCCATGGCTTTTACTACTTCGGCTCATGGTCAGTTGACTGTTCTATGTGTTTTAGTACCTTGACGCTGCAAGATGCTGTTCTCGCAGTGACCATGCCAAATGATGATCAGCTCCACGACGCTTGGTCGGAGTCAAACAGCTATGAAAATACATGACAGTTAGGATTTGTTTAAAGCACCCTTTTCCGCCTAGCAATCAAGGTCGGCAGAATCGACTGTTAGGGTTTAGGGTTCAGGGTTTAGCGGCATGGGTTTGGGCCAGGTGGAGCGGAAGTCGAAGGTCAGGGGAGCTCCGCCCTAGGACTGCAAGATCGAAATCTGCTGTGTGATTATAACTTAACTCTTCGATTCACTGTTTCAGAATCCTAGCTGTTCATCAAAGTCAAAACACCTCCTTGGCTGAATCTGGCTGCGCATGTTGGTCGCCTCCTCCCCAAGACAACAGGCAAGATTAATTGAATAAGTCTGTGTGTGCACAGGCTCGAAAATTCACAGCTCAAAGGCCCACAAACAGGTGAGGCAGTACATGGGGCCAACTTCTATTGAAGTGTTTGCCCTCAACGGCCGAAGCCAAACATATGCGTCACCAACGTGTGCGATTGCGCTGCGTTGGCCTGCTGCTCACATTCCTTGGCAGAGTAGCACCGGCCATGAACTGTGCCTCCACCAAGTTGTGCAAGTTCTGTCCAAGCCTCCATGATCGTTCCCGGAGAAGAATGAGGACTAGAACCCTTATTAATGGCTTCCTCAAAGCATTCCTTCTTCGGGCAAGCCTTTCCGGACAGTGAGCCTCCACCCGCTTTGCCCAAGAGTAGCCAGGCATCGGGGTAGTCTGGCCGAGATTCGACGGCTTTTTCGAAACAAGCCTTGCTTGAATAGCTGTTTTTTGATTCACCTCTGCGCCGTCAGACTGCGTGCCTAGCATGATCCAATGGGCAGCAAATCGTGTTATCCAGTGGAAGGTATAGTCCGACCAGGGAAATCCAAGCCAAAAGCTTTCCCCAAGCATTCCTTCTTGGATCAGTCCTTTCCCCCAACCTGGCCGCCTCCGACCTTGGCCAAATTTGCCCAGGCATCAGGACGGAACGGATCAAGGCTCAGGCTTTTCTGATGGCAGTCCTTCTCGGAGTAACGCTTGCCGCCTATAGTACCTCCTCGAATCACACCCAGATTGTACCAAGGACCACCAACATTGTAGATGATTTTAAAACCTTTGAGGTCCCCCCAACACATCAGCATCGGACGCATCCAGCCCGCGAAACTCAGGAGTTACGTCGATGGCTTTGTAGTAGCAGTCTTTCTTGGAACAGGGCTTGCCTTGCACCGTGCCACCTCCCAAATGGCCCAAGTTGCTCCTAGCACGAGCATTCGTGGGCACATCTGACGATCCTCTTGCGGAGAGCACTTTCAAGAATCGACGAAACCAAGTCCAAAGATCGTCGGCAGCATGGTACGGTCGTCGGCAAGATGCACTCAATGCAATCGTATCTGCCGGAAGTGTGCATAAACAAGCTGTCCACTTTCCTCAGGACTTGCAGCATGTCTCCGTCTTGGCCACTGCAGCAGGACGTTCGGAGAAATCCTTGCTCTCCTTCGTGATTCGCTAGATGCTGAGAACCGATTTCGAGGCCAGTTGCAAGACTACGAAGAGTCACGACGAGCTACCATCGAGACTAAATCGTGCAACCCCAGTCAGCAATCAGCAACCTGAACCTCAAAGAGCGAGCACCGATTTTTCCAGTTCAGCGACGTGCTCTTCTGGGTCCCAAGTCCCACGGCCAGGAGTCCAGCAAGGCCTCGTGTTTCGCTCGCGTGCTGCTTGTGAAGTCCGAACAACAGAAAACTCAGCAAATGTCCAGCAAAACACTTGAGGCTAGTCTTGCAGTGAAAGTCAGTTGCCGTATATGCAACTACGGAACAATTACGAGCCTTACACAGAAGTCGAATCCGGATAAGGCCACAAAACGTGCAAGCCGGGCCTCTGCTGTGAAGGGCCTTGTCGGCTAGGACCTGGTGCACCCGTAGCTCGATTTGGAAGACAACTCCTCCACCTGAACTGAAAGCCAAGCAGCCGCTCGAATTCCTGTCCATCAGGGCCGGCTTACCTGTAGCAGACCCAGTCGCAGTTGTTTTTGGCGCTTTTCAAAGTGTAGAGACGAATGTCCTCGAGCCAGGCACTCCAACATCTTGCTCAGGCTTAGGTGCCTTCTGCTGTACAAGTCGGAATCTACACGAGTTCCAGTGAAGCTGAGTCAAGCTGGAAGGATCTGTTCTGTGGGTGGCGTCGCTGATGGGCAGAGCTGCAATACCGCCTCAAAAACTCTGAGCTTCGTTATCCGCGGCCGAGGGGCTTGAGCTTCTTCTTGGGGCGGAGCTGGTTGCTGTGCCCGCACTTCTTCTTGCGGCAGTTCACAGCCCGGGCCTTCCAGCGGACTGACGGGTGGTAGCCAAGAAGGCGGGAACCTCTTCGGCGGAATTTCGAACCCGGAGTCTGTCCTGCTACTCCAGGTTACATGTACGACTGGCTTTTGTAGGATTTGGGAGCAGTAGCGAGGTGCTGAGGTCGGGACGTGGAGGCGTGCATAGCATTTGCGGCAAATCATCTTCTCACAGTTGAACTTGCGCGCAAGCACCTGCTAATGCCAACGATTAACCAGACACTAGACTACTAGAGGCAAAGCCAAAGCATCAGCACTGTAGGACTCGGAATTTGCATGTGCTTGCAGCCATCAGCTGCACCAGCCAGCCAAGCTGCAACTTGAGTTCACCCACCCTAGCCACAACTGTTTCACAACAGAAAATGTCTGCTCATGGTAGTATGTGCTACAGCATTCATACCATGGGCGAATTCATTCAAGGGTCAAGAATCTCCTCTGCCAAACGACATCCTATCGTCCCTCCACCCGGGGCATCATACTTGTTTGGCACTGCAGTGCTCGACGACTCGACACCCAAGTGCCAGTACTGGCCTTGGGGGCACTGCAGTGCTCGACACCCAAGTGCCAGTACTGGCCTTGGGGGTGGCGGTGGTGGTGCTGGTGGTGGTAGTAGTAGTAGTAGTAGTAGCAGCAGTAGTAGTAGTAGTAGTAGTAGTGGTATGTGAGTAGTAGTAGTAGTAGTAGTAGTAGTAGTAGTCGTAGTAGTAGTCGTAGTAGTAGTCGTAGTAGTAGTAGTAGTAGTTGTTGTTGTTGTGGTTGTGGTTGTTGTTGTTGTTGTGGTGGTGGTAGCATTGGTCGTAGCAGTGGTCGTAGCAATGGTGGTAGCAGTGGTAGTATAGTAGGAACAGCAGCAGCAGTAGTAGTTTTTGTTGTCGTCGTCGTCGTCGTCCGTGGCTTGTTGCATTTTGCGCATGCTAGCTATCTCAGCTCTAGTTGCGCATTTCCCCGCTATCCAAAACTTAAACCCGGGCCCCCCGACCGCCAGGGACGGCTCGATGACTCCGCCGCGGAGGCGCAGCACCAGGTGGAGGGTGGACTCCTCCCAGCGTCTTCTCAGAAACATTTGTCGCCCAGCTCACGACTTGTGCGGCTCTGCATGTCGCTCGCTACGTCTCTCCATTCGCAGGCCTTCTGGATGTTGTAATCAGAAAGCGTGCGGCCATCCTCCAACCTCAAAGGTTTTGTGTTTTCGGAATCCGGGTTCAGGGTCGTTATGGTCAATCAAATGTTTCAACCCAAGAATCCCAGGCTTGATCTCAGACCCTTGGTGCCGAAATGGCATGGCCAGTTCGTGTGCTTGCCTGAAGTTCTTTGACAAAAAACACCTGAGCGATGGACTGCTTGCCAGCGAAGATGAGGCGCTGCTGGTCGGGAGGGATGCCCTGAACGACAACATCAGTTGTGTACGCACATGTACAGTTTTTTGCGGCCGCTGACCGGAGCACTCCGAAACGCCCCACCGACCGGCCTCCTTGTCCTGGATCTTGGCCTGCACTGTCGCGCTTGAGAGCCGGTTTCAGGGCCTAGTCTGAAATCAGTTGGAGCTGTGCAAGTTTTACCTGAAACCAACAAGCATGGAGATGCTGGAAAGGGTATGCTGCCCGCCTACCTGCCTACCTGCCCACCGCCTCCCTCCCTGCCTACCGACCTACCTGATACATGCACGACATACAGTGTGTGTACTGTGTATATGTGTATATATATATACACATAAATATATATATATATATATCAAATTATATATATATGTGTAATTATATATATACATATACATATTATATACATGTAACCAACTCCCACCAAAGACTCTAACGCTCCCCGCCCAATGTCCTTGACGTTGTCTATCGTGTCTGACGCTTCGACGTCCAGCGTAATCGTCTTGCCCGTGAGGGTCTTGACCTTTGTTGCAACGTGATCTTTTCAGGCCCGACCAACGAAAGAGCTGAGGAGGGGGACCCTGACATCTTCGCATCAAGCTACAAGACGTCATGGCTTTGCAGGTAGCTGGTCTCTGCACGTTTGCTGCACGGATTAGGGTGCGAAGCTGATGTTGAACATATGAACATAAACAAGCCCATTGGGACCGTGGATTCACCAAACTCCCCGAAACCGAAATCACGGCCAGGCCACGAAAATCTGCATGGCGGCCCTGCCGACCCGGCCAGAGGCAGGAAAATTGTCGCTGAAATGGCTTGACCCTCAAGGAAGGGCATCAAGAATCCATTTTCGGAAGGCTCAGGACGTGGATTTTGCATCGGGGTCTGACTCATCAGATTTGCCCTAGCAGCGTGCCAGCACATCGCCAGCTACGACAGTCTTCCACCAAGATTGCGAAATGGACGGCTGAAGCAGAGCCTGCCGTTTTCTTCTCTACAAGTCGCGATCCATGATATGTTGACCTTGCAGGTTTGCGATGCCTCGATGAAGACAAGTTCGCGCTTTCCGGTAATTTGACCGAGAACTCTCAAAAAACCGATCTGAGTCAGAACTTGTCATTGTGGGCATGACTACAATAGAAGTTGTCTCCACCTCAAGCATGAATCTCTGCTAGGACGCAGCTGGGCTGTAACTGTACAGAGCCCAGATCGCTGCACACAAAGTCTAAAGCCGCCAGAGCTGCAGTGCGGCACCAAGCGGTTGTCACTCAAAGTCGACCATGAGCTCACGCAAAGTACAACACCCGGCAGCTTCATCTGCTACTGCATGTGGAGCGACATCGGCTGGAGCAGGCGCAACAACTGGTGATTAAAACTGGGGGAACAGCGCCGTGCGCAAATCAGCTGCATCTGTTGTTGCAGATGTTTCATGACCAAAACGTATTATGGCTTCAGCAAATATCTCTGTGGGCTTCTTGCAGCGGCTTTCGTGCACGGGACAGGCAGAGGCAGGTCTCACTTTGCCAGCATCATCTTCGCGAACTCTTCGTAACCTGGGAGGAGGTTCAGTAATTACCTGCTGCTGTGGCTGCAGAGCATTCTGATGCCTAAAGCCGTTGAGGACAGGGGGGGGGGTGATGTCCGTGATGTCGCCGCAAACAGGATCTCAAGGCTGGGCAGACTGCAAGAAAGCATCCACATCAGACCTCGTGTCACAATGGACACTCTAATCACGAAAAGACAGTGTCTCCTCTGCACACAGGAGAACCACAGTGCCCCAGCGACAGTCACAAGCTGTGCAATAATTGCATGAGCTTTCTGCTTCCAAAACGACCGTTGTCATGCAAAGCGACCCGAGCCACTTCTCGACATTCCGAAAACAGTTCTATCAAACACGCAATTCTCTAGACTATTCGCAGCAGGCTCTGAGTTAGACGAAGCCGCCTCTATGCTACTCAATGCCTGAAGCGCCATTTCATGTATCAGACCGACAGAAGGCTGTGCAGCATCCCTGGGCAGGCAGCGGATTCTTCCACCACGGACAGGCCTTTTCTGGATCTTGGTGGCATCACCTGCTCAAGCAGCGTGCAAAGCTCCGACGGCTTATAGGGCAGAGCACAAGTAGATCTTACACGCCTGGCTTGGCCCCTGGCTCTGCAACCCAATCCCCATACCGCCCATACCCAAAACTGTAAGTAGCCGTGGCAAGTGCCAGACCATCCAGGGCAGTCGTAATCACTGTGGCAGCAACATCGACGACAGCAGCAAAACAGTTGCCAGGTATTGTTTGACATCTTTGGCCTTGAGACTTTCTGGGAAGACTCGGCATCCGGGAAGCTGCCAAAGCCAACCTGTAATGGCCGTAGACTACTCTAAGTATGGCGCACCGGGAAAGCTGGGCTGAGGCTAGCAAAAGGAGGTGTGCTTCTCAACGTAGGCTTGCGCCTTACCTCTAAGGCACATCTATTGAATGGCGTTCGGATGCTGCCGCGATGAAAATCAGGTGCGACCTACTTTTCTATGTATCCTGTCATATGCATACCTGCATACCCCCTTACACACAGTCAACGTTTAAACTCTTCGGCTACCTGCAACAAAATGACACGTAATATACACAACATATGTACAGACTGTACAGATGTACATGCATGTGCATATATCAACATGCTATCTAGGTATGGACCAGGGCACGAGGTGAATCGCCATGCCCGAAGCCCCCAGCCCAGTGGTGGGTCCCCAGGGTGTCTGCAGTACTGACAGCGCCAACCACTGATGACTCAGAGCTTGACTTAAGAGTGAAGGCTGGCCCCCGAAACAACACGCTACACTTCTACAGCAACTGCGGACAAATACTTCTGGGTTCAACTTGTCAGGTGCGTTGCGTCACACCCCGGAGTCTGAACCTGTGCTTCAACTGGACAACGCTGACTTCACGTCTATGTGGTCTGAACTTGTTCTCAAGGAGGCGCTGCATCAAGGGCGAAGCAAAGCACCAAGCCATACCATTCCCAAACAGCCCCATAGGCTGCATGCCGCAAACTCGCCGAATAACTTGTCTAGACAAACTGCAATGGGCTCAATATCGCCAAATCAATGGTTTTTTGCCAGGCGGCAGGTCTTCGGAGCAGGGCTCTTGTTGCGCAAGCCATGCTCGTGCCTTCTCTGCAACGAGATCCTTGGAGTACTGTGCATCCACAAGAAGATGCCCATCTTCGTTCATTCAAGATGCTCAACTCTGAAACAAATTTTGTCTCTGCATGTTGATTTGCAGAAACCACTCACCCCAGCAACACGAAAAAGGCACTGCTCAGTGCAGATTGCCAGGAATCACTCTTTCTCCGACTTCCACAGAATCCTTCACAGTAATCCTGACAGCTCCCCGGTTTCCTACCCATCTTCAACTGCGGTCATGCGGCCCATTGCCTCTGTCCTTCGATATCATCAGAATCATGGGTAGCTGTATCCCACCATGGCATTTTACACCCTTCGGGTCAGGGCGTTTAACCCTGGAACCGACATTAGCTCTCCGAACGTCCAGGGTATGTTGGAGTTCCGAATTTCCCTGCCTGTCCTTGACACTGTGCGAGCACCGCCAGGGCCAAAGCAGAAGCCCACACACGAGAATCCAGCCCTGCCCATGGGCGCTTGTCTTGACATGCTTCTCCCAAACCCTCGTGCATGATGGATCCGGAGTACTGACGTCTTGGCCGTACCTGTAACTTACAAGAGGCAAAGCGGGGTTTAGCGCGAAGTGCAAGTGGTGAGATGAGATTGTCGAATGTTCCCGGAAGCCCAGGACCGACATGTGGAAAGTTGTTGGGCACGGCAGCCATGCTTTCAAAGCCTTGGACGAGGGTTTCCAAACGTGGGAAGATCGCAGGCGCACCTGTGGGAGGCTCCAAGCTCGCCAGCTCCACATGAAAGAGGGCAGCAAAAGCGACGTTCAGGTCCCAAGCTCCATCGAAGGCCTCTCAGGGGAGAAAGTCTACGTCGTCTAAGTCTCAGGACCGCGGGGGCTTTGCCGGATCTCTCTCAAGAACTCCTGAGACTGAAACAGCCTTTTCGGGCCAAGCTCAAACGCAAGCTCATGACTTGTCCTCCCAGCATGTGCCTGCAGAAGCACCAGAGACTGGAGAAGCTCGGGCGGAACCTGAGGGAAGAGCTGAGGTTCTGATGAAAGAGCCGTTCGAGGATTTCCGCTGCGACGACGGACCGTAGGATTTCGGATTTCTGGACAGGAAGAGAGGCCTCGGAGCTTGTCTCCACGGGTGCAGCCTCCCAGGCGTCCTTCATGGAGCTGAAATCTACATCTACGGCTTCTTATAGGTGACGCCCCCGGAAGTCCTCCACATCAAAGAGATCGCCATCAACGTCTGCCTCTCGGATCATCTCATCGATCTCATCTTGGTCAAGTGCTTCGCCTGTGCTTCAGAGCGTAGACTTCCAGGCTCAGGCGTTAGCATGTGCCGAGATCCGTGGAGTCGTCTACATCTAGGAGAGAGCATATTCGTATATGGCAGATTGCAATGGTATCCTCTTGCCTGGATCTCGGATAGCTGAAGCCACTTACCCCGACCAGGTGCGCTGCCAGACCCCTTCCAAGCATTTATAGTCCAAACCTCTCTGAACAAGCAGGGTGTATGCACACATGGTTGCGCATGACATGTATAACACATGGTTGAGACCCTGAAACCCGTGGTGGCCTAGGTTTGTCATCACCTGGCGCAGTTCTGCTGCAGAGATGAAGCCGTCGCCGCGGGTGTCAAAGACACGAAATGCTTCAACGAGCTCTTCCTGCCGACGAGTTTACACGCGCACACACCCTCACTCACTCACTCACTCACTCACTCACTCACTCACTCACTCACTCATCACTCACCACTCACTCACCCATATGCACGTATGCATATTGTACGGATCTATGTGTTGCACATATACATACCTACATGGACACGTGAATTCACGTACATATGCATGCATACATGTATAAGTTATGTGTATTTGCTGTGAGTGCATGTATGTATGTATGCATGCATGCACGTAAGTGCACGCGAGTGTGGTTGGTTGGCTGGTTGGTGTGTGTGTGTGTGTCTGTCTCTCTCTGTGTGTGTGTTTGTACACCCAATCAGCAACACTGAGTACATGTGAAGATACAGATAGATGGACAGGATTGTCATAGTCTTCAGCCGCTAATCGAAAAAGACTAACCGAAACCCCACTCGATTACTTATATCGAATATCGAATCGCCACGCAGCAAATACACGCAAAGCAACCCACGATCAAAGCTGGCAAGCCGGCTACCCCCTCTGCTGCCTCTGTATCGGTGTCTTTCATCTTGCGCGCCTGCCTAAGCTGCACGGAGGCAGACTCTGCTGATAGATCAGAAGACATAGTCATACTCCCAGGATACAAAACACATGATTGTTTGACCCCAGAGCAGCCCATCCATGCGCAGGCATGGCTAAGCCCGGACATGGAAAAGGTTCTGGCATCTTCAGGTCGTGGCATTTCGCTCTGAGACTGTGTGTGGCCAAGCTTTCTGTCCTAAGTCGATCGGGCAAGACACATTTCCAGGAAGTCTGGGAAGTCGATGGTGCCGATTCCGTCGCAGTCGACTTCGTTAATCATGTCCTGTCAAGATTGAGGGCTTCGTTTGTGGGAGCATGACATGCAGAAGCAAGGGAAAAACCTGGGTATCTGGGAGACATGCTGTCTCTCAACCTGCCCATAAAGCATTGAGGAAATCCCCCCAAAAAAAGTTTAGG